AACCTACTCATTTCTACAGATTAAGCAAAAAACTCAATAGTATATGCGCGTCGACATTCCATGCCTGCCAAAGCCTCCGCGCCGAAGTTAACACCTTCTCCTCCCTCTGGAACAATTACTTCACCGTCGACATCGGGCTCGGGCTCCCCCATCATCTTCTGATAGTTATGCAAGCAGAAACACGCTAAAACAGCTTCAGCGGCCTTGCCGGGTGGCGTCAACCTCAAGCTCCCGGCTGAGTATTACCACTCTTGTTACTAGTGGTAGTCGTGGCCTCACGAGACCTCTTTTTCTCCCTCTTCATTTTAGTAGTGGTAGTTGTAGTAGATGGCCTAAAAGTAGCGGTAGATGACCTAGTAGTAGATGGCCTAGTAGTAGCGGTGGATGACCTGGTAGTAGATGGCCTAGTAGTAGATGGCCTGGTAGTAGATGGCCTGGTAGTAGACGACCTGGTAGTAGACGACCTGGTAGTAGATGGACTATTAAGAAATTCATACTGACGATTATATAATAATGGATATATAGGCCATTGCGCCGCGCAATGCGCAATTTGCGCGTAACGCCAGGCTGTCACTCTGTAACTCATTTGACACTGTCAAAAAAACCTAATGAAATAACATGGAGACCAGTCTGAACACAACAACAAGTACCGAAACTCGATTACAAATTATATGAACCACTAAATAGTGGCGGTGTATTGACTGCCAAATAGTAGTGGTAGTTGTATTACTATTGACAGCACCGGTAGTAGTTTTGGTCGTCTTACTATTATCCACCCCTGTAGTAGTAGTAGTAGTAGTAGTAGTAGTAGTAGTAGGTGGCCTAGTAGTAGTGGTAGTAGTGGAACCTCTAGCCCACGATGTGAAGTGATCGACCGTGATTGAATCACTGATGAATCATGAGTCGTGATCTATCAATCTTAGGTCACTGATCCATGATCTACGATCCCGATCCAAAAGTTTTGTCAGTTTTGGACCAAAACTGACAGGATCATGGGTGATGTGATCTACGGATCACGAAAATGATCTATGATCCTGTCCCATGATCCCAATTTTGTTGATCTGAGCAAAAAAATCAGGTTCATGTCATAAATTCATCACATTGATCTTATGACGTGATTTTTTTATCGGGATCACGCGTGCATCAGGATCCGCATACCGGCCCTGGTCACCTGTAAATCATCTACATGAACCTAGGACAGTCCTAGTCTATCTCGCTTTCATCCTCAACGTTCATCGCATTGCATGACGTATCCCAACAACGAATCCTTTTCTCTCGATCTAATACCGCATATAACACTTCGAATTATCTGTGCCCATTCTGACTACATCATTCACAACGACAGTTTACATCAGTTATCATTCTAACAGCAACGACATGTTTACATCGAAGACCATCGCACACACTAATCCTCTCGCCCCCCCCGCTCCTTATCCTTGAACACATCATCATCGAAAGCGGCCAGTGCCGATAACGTACTAGGAGTACTGAACACATCTCACGAATCATCGATAGTAGCCAAGTAGATCGAACGATGGACTCATCAATACTTGGGTACTGCCGAACTCCCATGTCCAGAGACAGGGATCACGCCCATCCCCTGTTCTCAACCTCAGTGATGGTCAGATCCTCCCTGGGTTCATAAAGAGCGACAACGCGTTACGAACGGAATAGCTGTTTTTCTATAGCTCCGTTGTCTTAAGCCGAACTGCTTCTACTAACAGCAGCAACAACAGCACTTCACACTCTATGTAACTAGCGACACCGCTGTTCGGCTCGATACGCTGCCAAGTGTGTATCCCCCATAATGAAAGTATCATAACAACCTACCATACGATTGAGTACAGTAGCATCGATTCTGGCGTTATCGTTTGAAGAAGCGGATGGATCAAGCGCTCTCGGTCGCGGATCGACTACTTCCCTGTTAGGCTAGCAGAGCAGCCTATACCAGTCATACTTCCCATCACCAAGATGATGGACACTCGAGCTAACAAACTGATCCTATGGGACTGCGCTATAAGTGTCAGCAACAATGAGCATGCCACAACGACGGCGCTGTTCGCTGTAAACCCCACATCGCTAGTGATACAATGTCCCTTATCATCAGTGACATTCGAATGAAGTATACCGAAGGCCGTGAAGACCAGGCAACAGGGAGATAGGATGAATAACATGACAATAACTTTCTAAATTGTCTTGTCTCAGTTCATCTCTCATGTTAACATTCGATAGAGAGTGCTACAACTACCTTGCTAGTGTGAACACAACACGTTGACAAATCCACAATTATCTCCAGATCACCGGAATCTCTATTGCAGTGGTAGTAATAGTAGTACTCCCAATACAAACGTCATCGACTTTCCATCAAAACCAGCAGCAGATTAAGAGACAGCGGCAGCAGCCTGGAGGGGACTGTACTTCCAGGAGGCAGGGAGACGCTTCTCACGACGGTAGTAACGGGCCAATCTGTAGATCCTGGACTCAACCAAAATAAGACGGAACTTAGCATCCTTGTCCTTGCGGTTGCGCTCCATATGCTTGCGAATAGAGACGGCCTTCTTCATGAGATGGTAGAGATCCTCAGGGAGCTCAGGGGCCAAACCTCTGAGCTTGAGGATACGTAAGATCTTGTTGCCAGTGAGGAAGCGGACCTGGGGGACTCCGAAGGAATCACGAAGGGTGACACCAATCTGGGAAGGAGTAAGACCCTTCTTGGCGAGCTTGCAGATGTTCTCAGCGCAATCCTCAGGGGTCATCTTGACCCAACCGGGAGTCCTACGACGATAGGGCAGGGCACTGGACGAGATGCCCTTACCTCTTCCATACATTCGACCCATGGTGGCGGAGGTAGTGGAGATATTCGTGGACGGCAGCGGCCTAATCGATCATAGTGCAATTTAGCTATTTCTTGCATTTAGGTCAAATTCGCAGTGTTGCACGAAAACTCGATTTGCTAATCCGCTTCGCCTCCTTCATGTTTCACCCGTTTACGATTATACATACTGGCTCGATGTATAAGTCAAATCCGCAAGGTATTCCCATCGTGAACTCTATGCTTGTACACACCATCACACCAACACCACGAGCCCTATCATCATCACATATCATATAGTATGATCCTTTTTGCCTGTCCCAGCCCAACTCTGTCACAATGCACCCTCATCAATGTGGATCCCCTCTAGGCACTTGCCACCACCCTCATCTAACAACACGACACCATTCACAGTATCACCGAGTCTAGGACAGCCTTGACCACCATATAGGTGAGACCGATCCCAGCTCGGGATGCGTCATGTTTCATCAGATGTTTCCCCCAACTATCACTCTCGCAACACAATTACAGGTTGTATCGCTAAGACTAGGAGAGCCTGTACCACCGTGAAGGTGAGACCCCACCCAGCTTAATATGAGAAGTCGAAACACTAATAACATCAGAAGCTTAAGTATGCTTAGTGAGGTACTCAGCCACACCCTCAGTAGTGGCCTTCATAGCTTCTTGACCACGACGCCAGGCAACAGGGCACACTTCATCGCCGTGCTCTTCGGTGAACTCCAATGCATCGAGTATCTACAAAGGTATAATGAACAGTACTCGACCATTCAGAAGCTGTCAATCGATCAATACGGCAACACCCTTAGACTCACTCTAAGAACCTCGTCCACATTTCTGCCTAGAGGGAGATCATTCTTCAGCTCCGAACGAACCTTCCCCTCCTTATCGATGATGATAACGCCTCGACAAGCTACACCAGCATCCTCCAGCAGAACCTATACCCACCAACACTAACCCTGCAACTATCATCACACGAATGTTGCTACTTGATACGCCTTAGAAATCTCATGCTTGTTGTCACTAATCATAGGGTGATTGATTTGAGTGCCGAGGCCCCCTGCCGCTTTGGCAGTGTTCTTCCAAGCCTTGTGGACATGTGGGGAATCTACTGAGCATCCAAGGACCTGACCATCGAATACTCGGTGAACAATAAGACCAACCCCCATCATGAATCGTCAAGGGAGATGATGACCGCCAATGGCGCACCTCAGCCCCTCTCTTCTTGAACTCTTCCAGTTTGTTATGAAACTCTATAGCCTCCGTCGCACAAACGAAAGTGAAATCGCCAGGATAGAAGTACAGCACAACATACCTAAGAAAGCGCCATACAGCCGTAGGGGATCACGTCTCCTTACTTCCCCTTGTAATCCGAGCTGTTCACCGTCCTCAAAGTGTTATCGGGCATACAGGCTTGGGCTGCGAATGCAGGGGCCTGCTTACCAATCAAAGTTCCGAATGACCTGCAGGCTGCTAAGGGTGCCGCAAACCTCGCCATTGCGGGCGAGGCTAAACGGACCATTGGAGTGACCATGCGAGCCGCTGTCAACGCGCTGAACATTTCCAAAATAAACAACAAAAATCCCCTACAGTGCACAAGTAAGCTCCTGAGAGAATCCAAACCACCCCTCCCAGCATTTCATGACTTTGGAGAACCACACGTAATCCACCACAAACAGTAGAGGATTCAAGAATGGTATCATTAGCGACGCAAACAAAAGCCGACGATACACACAATCCGATCAATCGTGTGGCGAGCGCGATACAGAAAAAGGCGGAGCGAAGCTACTACTGATCCTCACTTTCCGACGACCAACACATACGTACGACATTTGCAGAAACATTCAGAAACACATGGCTTGCTAAGCAGGCTTCCTCTTTAGAGCATTCTTAGCTTCATAGGTCGCATATCTAAGGAGGACCCAAAACTCTCGAGTGAAACACCCAAAAACGACACCGCTGCCTGCAACACCGCAGAGA